CCCACATAATGCACCATGGATATATGTATTTCATTCTCTTGTAAATTGCTATTTAATAATGTATGGTTTGGCTACACCAATCTTTTTTTTTTTTTCATTTCAAATGTTCTTGAGATCATACTCTATATTATGATCCTCTTTTTTCACTTAATTTTAAATCAATTCCCATGTCATTAAAACATTTGCAAACACAATTTCAGTTCCAGAATGAGTGCATTGTAATTTACCGATTTACTTTCTGCCGATTTGGGACTACTAAAAACATGACACAATTAACTCTGTAGAGCATTGACTTATGTCCACATTTGCTGGTTATTTTATTTAGGCTATGAACACTTTTAGAGCTTTTGTCCACACTAACAAAAAAATTTTTTTCCAGAAAAACTGAAATCTGCTCCAACCAGTAATAACAGAGAGACTCCCACATCTTTCCTTTAATGTTTGCAAATCTGCTGGACAAAAGTGGCATACTGTCACTTTAATTTGAATTTCTTTTAGATTATTAGTGAACTTGGTTTTGTCTAGGTTAATGATTCATCTTCTAAAAACTGATCACATGCTCTAGCTAAGTTGGCCTCTCTTCCTTCACCTCCAAACATCCCAGCCCTGATCCCCCTTGCCCCAGGAATTTATGCCCCAACTCAGGCTCCAGGATGCACCCTTCCCCCCTGGTTCTGCCTCCATTGCTGGCAGCCTCTCCCATCTCTCCACAGGGCCACAGGATGGCCTTTCATGGCCGCCATACCTGTGGAGGCTCTTTGCTCTACCTGCCTGAGGTCCTGAACCAGAGAATGGAACAACCAAGTCCACACCTAGAATTGTTCAGCAGGCTGCAGGGGCTGTCATCTGTCTGGGGTCAGTGCTGACAGCAGGGGCCCTTGCTACTCTGACCTGGGCAGGGGCCTAACCTGCATGACCCTCTCATCTTTTCCTTTCTCATTTTTCCTCCTCTCCCCATTATTCTGACTCGGCCTTTAATTTTCACAAATGATACAATTTGGTGGTTTGGAATTTCTGCAGGAGAATTTCCGTGATCCTCCAAGCCCTGGGGCCTGTTTGCCCTGGTTGGAGAAGAGGAACCCTGGATGATCCGCAGACCCCGTCAGGCTGTGGTAACAGGCAGGGGCGGTTTGAGCTGTGGAGTGTAAACCTGGTCCTTCTTAGTGAGACTTTGCAGAAATCCCACTGGAGATTTTTCTGCCCCTGCCCTGTCTACTTTCCTTCATAATGATAAATGGCTGAAAAGAAAACTATCTAATCTCCAAACTGCTGGCTTTTTTTTTTTTTCCCTCTACTCTCTCTTCAAGGAGAGAAGGAAGAACACAAGTCACATAAAACAGAGTCCTTCATCGCCTGCTTCTCAGGAGACGGTTCTTTCCCTTTTCATCCAGGCCTGTTTCTGATCTGTGATGGGCTCACATTGAAAGCTCCAGTGCAGCCCCCTCTAATCAGCTGCGACAGACGCTGCAGTTTCTTGGGCTGCCCATCGAAATTGAACTGATTACCCGGCCCCTCTGCCATTTTGTTCTGTGCACAATTGCTTAATAGCTGTACCTTGGCTTTCAGTCCCAGCCAGCCTCAGGTTGACTGGTTCCCATTACTCAGGATGACCAGTGCAAGTTCATCACCTTTACAGGATGTCCCTGATTGATTCCGTATGCCTTGGAGACCTGTAATATATTTGCATAGGGGCGGTTGGGGGATGGATTGGAAATCTCTTGGCTGCAGGAGCTGCCAGGTTTCACTGCAGGGTTCGCCATGTTTGAATCATTACCAGGACTTCTTGTCAGGAGTCTGGCCTCTGCTGACATCACTACTAATGAATTTGTAAATTTTTTAAAAATACAAAACAACCCAGACTGCTCTAACCTTTGCTGTCGCCACCTGCCGCCTGGGTGGGGGGCTGCGAGCAGAAGCGGGGCTTTTCTAGCCTGAGCTTGTGCAGGTCTTTGAAATGACAATCTCTCTTCCCCTGCCCTGCCCCCATTCCCAGGCCCAGTGAGCAGGAGAACCTGGGCTTGGAGGGAGACATCTTTCAAGTGAAATCTTTGGCGCTGGGAACTACTTCAATTAGACAGCAGGGGGAATGTTAACATGCCCTCCGGCCTTTTAAGTGGGTTTTAATTTTATGTTGTAAGATAAGACACTGCAAGGCCAGGCTGCTACTCCTCCGGCAGGCTCCATTAGTGGGGTGAGCCGAGGCCTCTTGACCCTCTGGGGCCCAGCTGAGGCTGGAAGTTGGTTTGGTTTTTTAACAATTTGTCAGTCTGACCCAGCTTCTCTTTTCTTCTCCCTTTTGTTTTTCCAGGCTCTTCTGTTGCTGAGGACCGTTAGGTGGCTGAGCTGCCCTGAGAGGCCTGTCCCTGAGCTAGCAGCAGAGCACTGGAGGCCGCCGGCCTGTGGCCACACAGATGAACGGTAATCGGCTTCTTTTCCCTTCCCAGGCTGGGCACAGCAGACACTTGTCATGTGGCAGGCTTCTGGCCGATGATGTATGACCTGCTGGTGCTACTGAATGGTGCCCTTTGTTCCAGGAGATCCCACGTGCCCCCTTTTTATTGAGTTGTTGATTCAGAGGGGCAGGAACATTCTACAAATCCCGCTGCAGGCCCAGCTCTTGCCATGCCCAGGTGGGGCAGGCAGGGGAGCTCATGCTTCCCAGAAAGCTGGTAGGAAGCTGCAGGCTGCCTCAAAGCAAGATACCCCTTAAGGAGTGGCTTTCTTTTCCTCAGACTCAGCCAACTGAGTGTTTGGAGAGTGGAAACCTGGTCCTAGATGTGTGGACCTGCATCTAGCCCTCTACCTGGGTCCTAGAAGCTGTGGTGAATCCCACCCCAGTGGGATACTGTTTGCAGAAGGAGCAGGACAGGTGTGAGTTAGGAAGACACCCCTTCCCTGCCCCTGAGCAAGTTTGGTTAAGTTTTTCTCTGTGACCAGTGAGCCCAAGGTGGGAGCCAACAGCTAAGGGAGGAGGGAGCTTGGCCTTCTGCTCTGCAGGAAGAAGCTCAGCCAGAGAGCATCTCAAACCCACAAAGGAAGGACTCTGGGGAGACAGCAGTCAAGGTTGACTTCTTACCCAGCAGGAAATCTCTTAGTCCTGAAGAGGAGGATGATTAAAGGGTACCCTACCCTTCCCTCCGTTCTGCTGGGTTTCCAGACCCACCTTCAGTGAAGATGGCGGACAAAGTTGAGCAGCTTTGGTGAAGGGGCCATGAGGGCAAAGGCCAAGGGTGGTGAGGAGGGCGACCCCACAGCACCTTCCTGCACCTACTTCTCTTCTAATCTAGTGGGTGAACCTGGGCTGGATTTCATCCTGTCTCCATCTTATGGCCAAGAGATCTGGCAAAGGAGTAGGCAGGAGGAGCGCTCTGCCAGGAGTGAAAGTGGCTGATGAACTCACACATCTGGCGGCTCCAGGAAGCCCCAGGCTGACTCTAACCTGCTCTTCAGTTCCTTTTCCAAAACACCTGCATGAATCCCACCAAGAAGTCTCTATTTATGAGAACACTTCCCCAAATCGCCAGGTTGTGTCAACTGCTAAAAGGTAACAGATTCTTACTGCCTGTGCTACACTTCTGGGGCTTTGTGGGCCCTGGAATCCAGCCCCATAACCCAGGGAATAGCACGAGATCAAAGGTACAGCTGTCCATGGGTCCTATATTCCTTTACCCTGAGCTCAGAGGCACTCAGGGCCCCACCTGGCACTCAAGAAAAAATACCAGCAGAGGGGGAGGCAGACAGTCATTGCTGGGTCAAGAAATGGCAAGTCAGTAATAAAGAGTAACCACACATTTCACAGTTGTAAGATGGCTTTATGTTCTGATATGTAAAATAAAATGTCCATGCTATATAACAAAACACTTGAAGTTCCATATCACCTGTTAGCTAATGTGTTTTCTAATAAAGCTTTATCCATAGTGTGTGTTTATATAATATATATGTTTTTATCTAAACCATTCTTAGTTTTTAACATCAATCATGTAATAAAAATTTAAATAGATGTCTTTCCAAAATACCCCCTCCAGCATTAATTTTTATTAAGTTTATTCATTTGCAAAAAAGCAAAGCTGAATTTGACATGTGGCCTGCGTTTGTGAGATATATAATATATATATATTTATTTATTTATATAATATATAAATAGCTATTCAACATGCAAAAAGTTTAGTGATTTCCCAAATCTGATTTCGAGTTCACACCAGCCACCCCAATGGTCTGGTGACGTTCAATGCTAAAGAACAGGGCCAAAGACTAGGAGATCACCCCACTGCAGAAAAATTATCTTTGCTCCTCTGAGCTCATTGGCTGGACTGACCAAAAGAAATGAATTTTTGTCAGTTTGCTTTTTTTTTTTTCTTTCTTTTTTTTTTTTTGGGCTCTTGCTCCAGAGGCATGAATTCTCTGGGAGCAGAACGGGCCCAGGAGTTGCCTGACATCAGCTCTGATGTGGTCTCTGGGGGATGCTGCCAGGTGAGGTGCGCTTCACAGCTGCTGACCATAGGGTGCACAAGGTGCCTGGCAGGCCAAGTCTTATATACCAGAAAGAGATTGCATGTTGGGGACGGAGGGGGAAGGGCTTTGTACTTGACAACAAAACCTGAAAGATGACAAAGATGCTATTAGTTATATTTCTCTTCCTGTTGTAGGAAAAAAAGGAAAAAAAAACCCACTTTAAAAATACCCATGGCCCTTCCTGAAAGTCATCCTGCAGACCCCGAGCTCTGGAAGTCAACGCCCAGGCCACTAACTGAGCTGCCGGCTCTACTTCCAAAGCACACTCTGAGGTTCAATAAGTCTCACAGAACCTCCATAAGCCAGAGAAAGGGGCCTCCCAACCCCACAAGATCTGCAGCTCTGCTTGCAAGGGACAGGCCAGGAACTCTAAGGTGTGCACAGAGGCCTCCTGCCCCAGCAGAGACTCTCTCCCTGGGGTAGAGACCTCACCACCCGGCCCCTGAGTGAATCAGATTATATTATTAAGACCTCTAAATAACTCAAAATTTTTTTTGCCATGGCCTCAGATGTGTCAGAAGATTGATGCTCCCCAGATACATCCATGCAGGCACAAGCACATAGGCCCACGCACCCTCTGAAATACCTCCCCGCGTTCCTTGGTGGCGCGGGCCACCCACAGAGGTTAATGGTGGATTGACAAGGTCCCGGGGCTGTGGAGGAGACCGGGGAGTCATCCGTCAGTCCAGTTCTCTACAGTCCCCACGCCTGAATGGTACTGTAAGGAGGACTCCCGGCTCAGGGAGAAGCTCTGCGAGTAGAGGAACTCGTTGGCGGCGTTCAGGTGTGGCGAGGGCGGCTTCCGCTCACACACGGCGGGGAGGCCGCGCTCTCGAGGGAACGAGGCAGCGGGTCCCCGCTCCCGGACCTGAGATTGTGACAGCTGGTTGTAGACACTGAAGTGGGCGTTTCCCGGTGGCTGGGAGCTCTGGGCAGAGATGGTGGGCAGCCGAGGCATCATGGTGGTGGCGGTGAAGTGCGTGGGGAAGGGCTGGTAGGGCACAGTCTCCATGGTCTGCACGCTGTAGCTGGTGTACGGGGACACGGACGTCCACATGTTGCAGCTCAGTGGAGGCGGGGGCAAGTCCTCCACCCCCGACACCCCGGCAATCTCAGGCCCTGAACCTGAGTACATACAGGCTTCTCTGGGGGTCACCTCACTGCAATAGGAGGGGCTCAGCATCTGCTGGTCGTAGGGAGGGGGGGAACGGAAATAGTGATCCTCCCCCACCGAAGAGGGAGCTTCTAGATAGGACCGTTTGCAGGGCAAGTCCAGGTGGCGGGCACTGTCTGCTGGAAGACAAAGAAACAATCAGGAAGAGTGGCTTGTCACTCAGTACCTGCCCTTGCCCCAAGTGGCACTCCCAGAATCATCTTAATCAGCTCCATCTTTTATAAGGTGGTGGCAGCCAAGACGTGGTCAGATTATGGAGCCTACTCAAAGGCCGTGGGGGACACCACATCACTGGACACTGAGTGATGTGCTAAGCCAGGCAGCACACAGCTTTGATCCTCTGCCAGCCTGACTCTGGGGATGGGAAGAGGCCCCAGTGTGCACCAGCATTCTTCGATGAGGCTGGCCCTGGCCAAGGAAAGTGCAGGCAATTGCCAGGCCAAACCAGGCCCAGAGACCACATCTGTCTGAACCAGCCAGAAAATTAAGGCCACAATGTTTCTGCCTCAACCCTCAACTCCTAAGGAGGGCCTCAATAAGCCAAGGTTAGTGGCAGGCCAGATTCTGTTGTTTTTAGAAGAGGAAGTTAACCCTGCTGCGTTCACAGAACACCCATACACAGATCCCATCGTAACAGTGTCTGTGTAATCAAGGAACAAGCCGAGCACAGTGGCGCACACCTGCCATCACAGCGATTTGGGAGGCTGAGGCAGGAGGATTGCAAGTTTGAGGCCAGCCTTGGCGACTTAGTGAGACCCTCTCTTGTTTTGAAAAGGGCTAGGGATGTGGCTCAGCAGTACAGCGCCCCTCTGTTCAATTCCCAGAATAAAAAAATTAAAAGAAACACAGCTGATAATAACTGAAAAGGATGACATAATTTTCAGGCTGAGCTGATACTCTAGAGAAAGATGACATCAGATGCCACAAATCATGTCTAGGGAGGGCTGAATTCTCTGGAATGACATGTTCTCCCCTGAGATCCTGGGATGACCCAGGCCTAAGGGCTGGAGTAGCGGCCCACTCAACAAATGTAAGAACACTTCTCTGCAGCTTATCTTGGCCTCCCTCCTCCTGTTTTCTCCAGGGATTCATTCTGGGAGCTGTGTGTGTACACAGGCAGGGCAGGGGGGCCCGGGACGGGGGGGTGGGGGGTGGGGGTGATTTCAAAGCCTGCACTCAGCTGGCCCTCTGGCCTTTCTGAAGGTGCCTCACCTACCGGGGGGGGGGGGGGGAAACCTGCTCCTTCTCTCACCCGACTCTCTCTCACCCTCATCCATCCCTCCTCTCCCTCTTCTTGCCAAACTCCTCCTTTCTGCTTGGACTGAGCTCTTGGACTTGGGAGGTGACCTAGTCACTCTAGGTCAGGAATGAGCAATGGGCCAGACAGTAAATATTTTAGGCTTTGTGGGCCATACAGTATGTGTCACAATAACTCAACTCTGCTGTTGTCCCAGGAAAGCTGCAGAGTTGAGGCCATATGTAAGTACATGAGTCCGGCTGTGTTCCAGTGAAACGTCGGCGGATACTCAAGTGTGAATTTCAAATCATGTTCACTTATCATGAAGTACTCTTTTGACTTCTTTCAACTACTTAAAACTGTAAAGACCATGGTGTACAGGACTTTGTCCAAGGTCCACAGTCTGCTGACCCTTACTCTTACTCTAGGTCACTGAGGTCAATGGGACTCGTGCAGGGGATACTACGAGTTCTGCCGGGTAGTCACATTTTGGATTGCAAGCAAAATTCCCCATGACTCATTCCCAAGAGAAAGTGAGTGGCGAGGTGAGGTGTTCTGGAAAGGCAACACTAATTATCTCTACTCTGTCCATGGGGAGGGTGAGTCCTGGTAGCAAAGCGTGAACATTATGGTTCCCAGTTCAGGGCTCTTCTTTGGGAAGGAGCCTGGCACCCAGAGTGCCACTGCCTATCTTCCTGGCCCCCAGTCTGCCTCACAATAGCTCCCTGCAGCTCCTAGGCAGCCTGTGCAGGAGCCTGGCAAGGTGAGGTGGAGAGCCCCCCGCCACAGGGCTGAGACCCTCCCTGCTCCAGGGTTCGGTCTGCTTTCACAAATGACAGCCGGGGTCCAAGAACCCGTGGCCTGGGAAGCTTCAGCTTCCTCCTGGCTTCTAGGCCAAGCCCTGCTGGCTGTATCTCCTGCCTCCCCCAGGGAAGGCTCCCACAGTAGTGACTGCAAAGCACCTGGAACTGGGCAAGGGGCCAGCATCTGGGGACACCAAGGCCACAAGCTGTCTGTGAGGATTCTGAAGGCCACATAAAGATGAGAACCAGAGTTCTTGTGCAGGGGAAGGTGGCTCTGAGGCTGGCCATGGTCCCTAAGCCTCAGGCTGGCTCCCACGTACAGTGGGGGACACCCCTACTCCCGCCCTGGAGGGCCTCTGGATCAGGAGCACTACCTCGTCTCTTGAGGCAGTGGTAGAAGAGGCTTGAGTCCCTCTGTGGGGGGAAGGTGTTGAGAGGCAGGTCCTGTGGTTCAGCCGCAGCGAACTGCATGTGGGCCCCATTTTCGTACTGGTAGTGCTGCAGCGCCTGGTGGGCACCGTGCAGGGGGCTGACGTCGGGCTTGGCCGAGAGCTGGCTGGACACAAGCCTCTGCCTCATGATGCTTTTGGAGATCACAGGATACTCTTTGCTGGAGGGGGGGAGCACAGGTGGAGAGACAGGAAGAGAGTGAAGATGCTTTGAGGGTTACCCAGTCTGCCCGCCCCATCCCAGGGCTGGGGCAGCCCCACCTCTGAAGCCGGGCCACACGCAGGTCACTGTCGTCACTGCCCCGGAATCCCTTGGCAAAAGGGTTGTTCTCAATTTTCAGCTGTGTGATCTGTCAGAAGAGGACACACAGTAGAGTCGCTGGGAGGAGAGAGGACTGGGCTGGCCTGTGACCCTCCTCCCCCAGCCCAGGCACACTGATAACTCAGGCAGGCTCTGGGGAAGTCACACGGCTAGTCCTAAGCCAGCTGGGAGTCCTTGGCCGTGCCATTCACATGTAGCTCGTCCCTGGCTCTCCTCCACTCTGCTTCTTCTGGTCCCTCCTAGTCTTTCTCCAGCATCACCTGGCTACAGTCCCTCAGCTGTCATTCTTGGGTCTCTGTAATAGCTTCCCAGTAGGCTTCCTACACATGTCACCCATGTCCAGTGCAACTGCCACAACAGGTTCTGAGTGATCATTCTAAATGCAAATCTGACTTGCCATTCTTCTGCCTCCACAACCTATGGCCCTCTTCCAATGGCCTCTCTGTGCCTGGCCAGTCCAAGGGTGTGCATGTGAGAAGCCCTCTGAAAAGGGTGAGGTGGACAGAGCAGAGAGACAGGAGAGTGGCCCACTCAGGACCTACAGGGCGATGGCTGGAGCCGGGGCAGGGTGGGAGGTGGGCTAGGCCATCCCAGGCACCTCTCCTCATCCACTACCCTCCCTCTGCAGGCCTAGAATCCTACCTTTGGATGTACCTGGAGGAAGAAGATCACAGGATAAAGAAAGGCCTAAGACTCAAACCACACACAGGCTCCCTGCTCCTGGTTTTCACAGTTCCTGGCTGTGGGCTCTGGCCTTCCCTAGCTCCTCACTTTGGCTACGCAGCTCCAGCCAGCAGGAAACAGCCATCCTGCCTTCTGCACTTTGTTCATCCCCCAAGTACAAAGATCAGGATCACTTTGTGCTAGAGATTTGTGTCTAGTCTTTTCTGTTCGTCACTTGATTTGCTCACTGCTCTGAGGGATGTGGTGGGTTTCTGAGGCCCCTGCCTGGGTCTGCCTCAGCTTCACTGGGTCTCTCTGTAGCAGTGGCTAATGCTGGGTGGGGCCTGCAGGGTTGTGGCTGTACCTTGTGATTCTGGTAGGAGGTCACAGAGATGAAGGAGGTTTCTGGGAACACATGGGTGCAGAAGGCCGTGTTTTTGGAACCAAAAGCATTGTTCTCATCAGCCTTAACGATGTGTAGCCGTGGCTGGTACTTGTGCATGGAATTGAGGATGATCTGAAAGAAAAGGGTTTCACTGTGAGCTTTGGTTCCCACCTTGTGGTTCTTGACCTTGTTCAGCTGGCCCAGAGCTGGCTTTCCTCCTCCTAAAAGCCCAGGACCCAGGGCCTAACCACAGGCACTGAGTTTGGAAAGGCCCTGAAGCTCCCAGTAATAAATCAGGCCCCCAGGCCCCAAGACCACACCACAGTCCCACTTAGCCTCTCTGTCCCAGCACTAACACCTGCTCCCAGGACCTCCCTGGTGTCCTCCACAGCTTAAAAGCCTGTGAATTCAGCACAGTGCAGTAGGGGGAAATTTGAGTTATAAGCAGAAGTTCAGGGTGCTGCTGACTTCACTGAGTGACCTTAAGTAGGTCATTCAACTACTCTTAGCCTTGTTTTTACATCTGTAAAATGGGATCATCGTACATAACTTACCTCCCTCCAGTGTCTCCCTCCAGACTGACTTCCCACCCTGCCTGCATGTGACCTGCCTTCCTGGAAAGGCCCACTATGAGTGCTTGGCTGACTCCTCTAACTTTGTTGGCAACAAAGACAGCTTCAGAGCCCAAGGGTTTGCAGGATGGAGGAGAGGAGAGAGGCTGAGAAAGATGTCCCACTTTGTTTTCATCACATTGCTCATTTGGGTAAGCATTTCTCAGCATTCACAGAGGCCTGCTGGGGGAGTTGCAGGGACACCAACCCATCCTGCCCCCAGCCCTGCCCAAGCTGGAGGACAGCTCGTCATAGGTCAGAGATCTCAGTACCAAGAGAAGTTCCTACAATAATGCCAGAGGCCCCAGGCACCCAAGGGCCATGGACCAGGGGATGTAGGTCACTCCAACTGGTCAAAGCTTAGCAAAGTGCCCAGGAGTCTCGGCTGCTGAAGCCCAGGGAATCACACACAGTAGTTGCTGCTCCAAACCTGCCTCACTTGGCGGTGCCCCACGGTAGCGACTGCATCATGTGCCATTAAAATGTATTTTTTATCGTTGACATTTGCCAGACACCCTCCTCATGGGAGGCAGGACCAGGAATTTGGGGCATTTTATCAGCACCACTACATCTGTTAACCCTTTGGTTTCCGTGCTGGTCAGGCTGGCTCTCAGGTCCCACAGCTCACTGGGCTCCTTTATTTCTGCCTGGGGGTGCCCCTTCCCTGGGTTGCCTCTGATGGCTCCCACCCTTCCAGGTTCTCAGGGGCTAGGCTTGTGGCCGCAGCCTAGTGAAAGATTTAACTCCTTGGTGACCAGACTGCCAAAAGAAAGGCCAGTCAGGCTCTTCAGTGGAAAGTTTTGGCTGAAGTCTGAGTCCAGGATGGCTCTACACCCATCACGCCTTGGAGGCTGGGACAGCCCAGGAGCAAGCTCTGCTGAAGACGGGTGGGCCAGGGGCTGGCTGCAGGCTCTGGCCTTCCCTGGGCTCCTCAGTTTGGCTTAGTAACTTTGGTCAGCAGGAGCCAGCCTTTCTGCTTTCTCCACTAGTCACCACTCCTCAGCGACAAACCTGTGGATTCTCTTGGGGCAAGTACAGAGCTTCCCAAATCCAAAACCAGGTCCCGTAGCTGGGGCCTGTCCGATGAGAAACTCAGAGGCTGAAGATCTAAGCCCTACAGAGGAGGCCTGACATCTGTCTTTTTCCAAGAGTCTGGAATGTTCCTATAGGGGAGAAGCTGAGTTTAGGGAAACACCTCCCAGCCCTTGCAGGTTACTCTGTCACCCTGCACTATTCACCATGCTGCAAAATCCCACAATGACCCTAAGTTCCCTAAGACCCAGCAGCTGAATACCTGAGAGGTGGCCTAGGTGTCTCCAAGAACACCCAGATTCCTGCCTCTGCACCTCTGTGCATGCACTTCCTCTGTTGTGCTGACTTCCTCTCTCATTCTCTCACCTTCTAGGCCCATCTCTCTTCCAGGAAGGCCCAACTTGGAAGGCTTCCCAGATCCCAGGGCCTGCTCCTTTTCTTCTTTTTCTTTTTTAAATATTCATTTAGTTGTAGATGAACACACAGTATCCTTATTTATTATTATGTGGTGCTGAGAATTGAACCCAGTGCCTCACACATGCAAGGCAGTGCTCTACCACTGAGCCACAGCCTGAGCCCCTCCCCATTTCTTCTTGTCCCTTCAGTTGAACTATAGACTTCTCCAGAGAAAGAGCTACATCTTTTATTCCTATTGCACCTCTAGGTTCCTTGGCCCCAATACAGGATCTAGGTGGAGCTGCAGGAGTCAGAAGATTTAGGCCATGACTGCAAACCCTCATGGGAATGTCAGCAAGCCCCTCTTTCTGGTCTTTACTTAGCTCACTAGAGACAAGATAATCTCTAAGGCATCCTTCAGGTCAAAAATTGAGATTGAAGACATGCACAGAAAATCCTGCAAGCACTCCCAGGCCAGAGCTCCCCAAATGCAGGACCAGTGCCTGGACATTCGAACTCTCCTAGGAGGGTGGCCAAAGGGAGAATAAGGACAGTGGGCTGACAGAATCCCAAACAGAGGGCAGTATCCTTCAGTGAAGTTGTGCGGGACTCTTAGGACCAATGGCAGAAGCCACCTTGCTCCTGTGACAGCTGAGCAATCACAAGTCTAATCAAAGTACTAGGCATCTCCATCAACTCCCCTTCTCCTCACTGTCACCCTCCTCCAGGTCCACTTAGTGACCAAGTCCTGGAAGCCTATGAAAAAAGCCTCCATTCCCTCTGTGCACCCTGGTCCAGGCCTATCTCTGGCTGAGCTGCTGTGACAGCCTCCTCCTCACCGCCATCTACTGCCTCTTCATCTTCACCTGCTACACCTCCCACTTAGAACCTTCTGGAGATCCCAGGGAAACTAGACGTTGCTTGAGAGCAGGCCCTGGATATTCCCTCCCCTTGCCCCACAGCCAGTACTCAGGGTTCAGTAAATGCCTTATATTCAGAATGCCAGCTTTGATGGGTCCCTCTTGCCCCTTGGAATACAGGCCCATGAGACGAAGACCTTGATGAGGGAAAAGAGAGGCTGCTAAACACACCTCTTCAGAGGGAATCACACAGGCTGGCAGGGAAACCTGGGAAAAAAGAAACTGCCAGTCCTCCCACAACCAGCTGGGAGCTAGGGGAGTACAATCAGCCACAGAGAAGTCAAGAAGATCCAGAAGACTCTATGGATCTCTATTCAGCAGCTGCAAGTCCTGAGAGTAGGCTCTTCCCCTCCAGCCTCTGAGGTCCCCATCTATAAAGTGGAGGCTTGGGCTAAGTGGCCCCCAATACCCCTCCCAACTCTGATGGTCTGGAATCCAGGACAGGTGTCTAGAAGAAAGTCCTACCCACTGAACCAATGCAAATGTAAACTTGAACCCTAGTCCCATCAGCCTGGGAGAATGTGAAACCAACTGGATGACTCACATACCTGGCTTTGCTCGGGAGTTCCTCAGGCTCCACATTAAACTGCTTTGCCAGAGTCTCACATTTATATTTGTTGCACAGGGTATCGGGCCAAATGGGCCAGCCACGTCAACAAACCCACTACACAGCTAGGCCCATCATCATCATTGTTTTACAGAAATGGGATTCATTATGTGCTGGCCCTCATTCAGGAGCCTGTTCTATTTTAACAATTGCAATAGCGCCAAACATCCGTCTCCTCCAGAGCTCAGCATAGCGTGCTTTGCCACCGAGATCCATATTTATCACCATTAGAATTACAGAACATTAGGGCATGGAGAGGCAGACCATAGAGATCATTCTAGTCCAGCTCCCTATTTTTACAGATGAGGAACAGAAGGCCTGGGGTGGGAGCATGACTTGCCCAAGGACACACAGCTGGTTGGAGACAGAGTTCTGAGCAGCTTCCAAATGGCCTTTGAGAGGGCACATGCTGCTCTAAACAAGCTCAGTAACTAGTGATAAGTGCTAATCAAACACTGTAAAAGACACACCCACCAGGCCCTATGGTCCACCACGGAACACAACATATCTAAATGCCAGCCACATAACAGTGGGGCAAATGTGCATTTTGGTACATATTAAAACCAGATTCAGCTGCACGTAGTGATGCACACCTGTAATCCCAGCGACTTGGGAGGCTGAGGAGGAGGATAGTAAGTTTGAAGTCAGCCTTAGCAACTTAGTGAGCCTCTGTCTCAAAATTAAAAAAAGAAAGAAAGAAAGAGGGAAGGGAGGGCTCGTGGTTCAGTGGTAAAGCACCCTGGGTTTAATCCCAGTACCCGTGCCCCGCCCCCCAAAAAAACCATATTCACTCTGCATCATACTTTATTTTCTGTGATTACTTTTTTCATCATCTCCTTACCCTCCCCAGCCCTGCAGCAAAGAGGTCAGGACAGAAACAGGATCCATAGCTTAAAAAGAAAAACCAAACCCAAAAAACCCTGAGACTCAGAAAGGTAAGTGGTGGTCTAAGGAAAATCTAAACTAGAACCAAGTTTAGGGAGCCCTTGAGTCCACTCAGAGGCCTTGGTCAGATAGGCCTTGGGCTTTACTCCCAGGATAGCAACCCTGGGGTCCTCTAGAGCCCTCACAACCTTCCTGACTTCTCTGGCAGCCACAGCATTAACTGGAGAGCATATCTCATGTGCCAGGCCTGGTGCTCAGGATTTTATATACATCAACAAATTAATCTTCACAACCTCCTTGCATGTTGATCCGGGGCATCATCATTTTAATAGACAAGGGACTAAGCACCAGGGAAGAGAAGGCATTTGCCCAACATCAGTCAGCAGATCCGAGGCAGGGCCAGAAGCAGCACTAATTACCAAGCCTGTACTCTTCCCTTCACCTGGCTGGGGAAGGTGGGCCTGATCTCCCAGAGCCCAGGAAAGGGTTTGGCACAGTGTCAGGGCTCAGCAAATGCAGGGGAGGGAGGGAGGGAAGGAAGGAAGGAAGGAAGGAGAGCAATCCATAGCCATAGCTGTGGGTCCCCATTGACAAGTTAACAGCACAGCTTGGAGAGACAGCAGCCCCTGATAAAGGAAGTGCTCCTCTGTCTAAACACCACCCCCTGTAGCAGCCCACTTACTCACTATCTAATGGCACCCACTGGCTTGCCAGACCCAGGGCTAGGCACTCGGACCCAATGGTGAGAATAACCTTGTGGTTGACTGTCTAGGGAGGAAGTCACACAGTCACCTAAAAATCAAGCAAAAATAAATGGTGAAAAAGTGTAGTAGAAGAGAAACTGCAATACGACATACCTAACAAAAAACGTGAAGGGCCTCAGGAAGGACAGCTGAATACACTACACTCTGAAGGACAAAAAGACAACTTCAGCAGAGAGAAGGGCATTCCTATCAACCCTCCCAAAGTAAATGACTTGCCCAAAGGCAGACCTCTCACAACAAAGAAAATAAAACTGAAATTGATATCTATGGTTCCTTACCAAACTGGCAAAAATAAAAAAGCCCTCCCACCTTGTTGGTTAGACCACAGCAATGGTAGGAATACCTATCAGGAAAAATGTTATGGAGGGCAATTTGTTGACATTTTCAAAATTTCAAATCCAAATACCCTTTGAACAGACAATTTATTGCACAAATATACTTGCCAGAGTGTGAAATGATGTATGTCCAAGTTTAATCAAAAGAGAGGGAGAAAAAATCACCTAACTTCTTCCATAAGGACTGGAACAACCATAAGTTAAAGCTTCATGGAACAACCGTGAATAAAGCTGTAAGTGGCTATACTAAAGGAAGAAGGCAGCTCTTTTTGGATGGAATGATCTTCAAGACATGTTTACAAAGCAAGGAGCAAAAGCATTTATATAGTTCAGCACCTTTTGTGCATAAAGGAGGGTATTTGAGGTTATATATTCTGCCTATAGGTACACAGAAAATGCTCAACACAAATTAATAACAGTGCTTACCTATGGGGGGGTGCGGGTGAGAGGGACTGCAAAAAACCCAGATGGATGAGGAACAAGTAGAGGGAGACGTCACACCGATAACATTTTTTAAATTGTGATTTATTTTTAAACTGTGTATTTCCTCTTCAAAAAACAATTTTAAAGTTACAAATAAATATTAAATTACATCTCTGTTAAGTATGATGAGAAGGTGCTTAATGCTCAGAGAGTGTAGAATGGGAAACCTGAGTCTCCTCCCTGAAGAAGTTGTATTTGAACTTGGATCCCAAGGTTCAGGAGGCAGTAGCTAGATGAGGAGGGCGGGAAGATCATCCCAGGCCTGTGGGAGGCAGGTCAGCCAGTCAGAACCCTGCTTTGTCTTTTAGGAGCATCTGGCTGTGTGGTTCAAGGGATTCCTATTCTAGGCTCCACCTGCCACTTAGGACCAGCTCCAAGCTCAAGCCCTTACCTGGACCCTGGGCCCTTCCTCAGAGAATTAAGAAAAATAGCACATAGAAGAAGGGAGTCTTGGAAGATTCAGAAACTAGTAAAACATGGCTGCTTCACACCTCCCACAACCAGACTCTCTTATCCTGGTTTTTATTAAGGGTGGGTAGACACATGGTCTCTCAGACACCCCCAAGTTAAGGAAATTTGCTGAGTTGGATCTCTAAGCTAGAAAGACACTAAGTCCACCTGGTGGACTCTGGGATGATACCACCACCACCACTAGAACTGGTTTGCAACTTCACTACAATGGTGACAGTCCCAGCTCATACAGGGTCTGGCCCCCTTCTCAGGAAGAGATCCTGATATTTTGTGGGGACCAAGGTAAGCTGTCAATGGATGGCAGCTGCTAAAGCTCCTGGGATACTACAAGGATCCCAGGGAAAAGCCAAAGAGACTTTTCTGGAGAAAGTTCCTTGATGTCTAGAAGCTTTTAGGGAAAACTAAAAGTGTGGAGGTGAGCTGTAAAAAGGAAGGGCGTGTTTGAGGCAAGTTCACAGTACAAGATGGCTCTCTCTCAGGCTCTTGCACTGAGAAACCAAGAAGGATGACTACTTCTTCTTTTTTTTTTTTAATGTTTATTTTTTAATTGTAGTTGGACACAATACCTTTATTTCACTTATTTATTTTTATGTGGTATTGAGGATCGAAGCCAGGATCTCGCACATGCGAGGCGAGTGCTCTACTGCTGAGCTACAACCCCAGCCCCAGGATGACTTCTTCCCCCTTCCACGCGAGCTCACTGCTTCCACTAGCACAGGCCAAGGGACAGAAAGCCAAAGTCCTTAGGAAGTTAATCACCTCCATAGCCCTTGTCTTGCTGGCCACAGATGGCTCCCTCTTCATGATGCTCCAAATAGCTGAAGATAAGACAGCCAGAGCCCTGGGTCCAAAAAGGTGTGAGACTAGGAAGCAGAAGGCTCAGCACAGAGTGCTGCTCCCTTACTCTCAGCTTCTGAGACAATTTCTTCAATCCTCAAGCCCTATACCACAGGGGGTACTATAGCCAATAAATTGCAAGTGCTGGGTGGGGAGGAAGAGAGAAGAGAGAAGTTCCGTATCCCATCCACCAGGAGAGAAAGCTAGTTAAAATGTGTACAACCTCTATTGTCAAAGGGGTGAGCCTGGGGTAGGCAAGGCAACTGAGGCCAGGGGGCACCTGGGCCTTATGAGCCTGTCAAGCAGCCCCATTGGCCCAGACTTTTTAAATTTTTTTTAAGAGAGAGAGAATTTTAATATTTATTTTTTAGTTTTCGGCGGACACAACATCTTTGTTTGTATGTGGTGCTGAGGATCAAACCCGGGCCGCACGCATGCCAGGCGAGCGCACTACCGCTTGAGCCACATCCCCAGCCCCCATTGGCCCAGACTTAATAGCACATGCAGGATTATCACAAACCCCTCAGAAAACCAGAAAGAGCCACCAAGGAGGTAAGACAGGCTTGGAAAACCTACTGCTGGACTGTGAAGCCAGATCTCTCTCCTACTTTCCTAAAAAAAGTCTGGCTTTTCAACCCTGGACTCTTTTTCCTCCAACTTTCTGCAGGGAGCCAGGGAGGCAGAAGGTCCTCCAAGGCATCCCTGAAGCTAAGAACCCTAAGCTTCCAAAAGATCAAGAAGCTTGATCCCTAGGTACTTCCAGTCACCCAAAAAGTCAGTTCCTGCCAAGCTCTGGACTTACTCACAGTCTGTCCCATGGGGTTGCATGTGCCCACATCTAGGTTCCCTGCTGCCACCACAGAGACCCTCCTTAACCTTTTGAGGCTGGTGCCACAACCTGGCCAAGCAGAGGAGGTGAGTCAAGAGTCAAGTGGGAGTGAATTCTTGTCCACGATGGCACCCAGGAAGACCCAGGAGGCCCCTCTCCTCTCATTTTAAAGGCCCTACTGCTCTGGGAGGTTGGGATTTGGCTGACCCTTCATTGGACATCTGCCCTAGCACCACAAAGAGTCATAAAACAGGTAAGTCAGGAGTTAGTTCGGTTATGTAAGCCTTCTCCTAGTTGCTTATTTACACATCACCAATGACAGAGAACTGAACACTTGAAGAAATTAAAACTAGGAACCTTTACCAGTTATCTACTTATTAATCTGAAATGAAGCACAGCTGGCATTTTACAAGAGGAACTATCGTTCACAGAATTCTGATTTGTACACAGATCTCCAGAGACAAAACTGAGGCACCAAAGAGGGACATAGCTGTACATGTCCTACCCACCATCCTCACCCTGAGTGTTAGTGCACAGCACCCCCCGCAGCCTCCACTGCCCTTCACCCCACTACACCCCTGCCCTGTGCCCCACTACGCCCCTGCCCCGCGCCCCACTACGCCCCTGCCCTGCCCGTCCAGAGTAACCTCAGGAGTCCAGAGAGGCAGGCCTGCGTCCTGGCAGAAAATACCAGCTCTCAGGCTTCTGTTTGCCACAACTTGAGCTAAAAATTTCCACATAAAATGCTCTTTTTTGTGGGTCTGCCAGAGCCAGAAGGGGAAAGAATGAGCTTGGGCAGCCTGGACGGGACGTCAACAGCAGCATCCCAGGGGCTTCAGAATCCTTTCACAAGAGCCAGACCCCAGGCAAGCCAGGCAGAAGTGGACCTAGGAGCCAGAGCAAGCCTTCCTTCCCAAGGCCAGGTGGCTCTCAGGCCAGGCACATGGCGCACATCACAGAGGAGCTTCAGAATTCATTCTTAAAAAGTTTACTTGCCTTATGTCACATTCCAGCAAGAACAGATCTGGGGACACTGAAGCTGAGAGATTTGACCCATCACATCAAGATCATCATCATCGTTATCATATTTGCTATTTATTTAGAGCCTCACATCTGCAAAATGATTCCTGAATGTTCTCTCATTTAAATCTCACTCCTATGGCAATCTCCATATTTCCTTCCTTCTCCCTTCCTCTCTTCCCCCATACTGGGGATTGACCCCAGAAACACTCTACCATTGACCTACATCTCAAGACAGGGTAAGTTGCTAAGGCTGGTCTTGAACTTGCAATCCTCCTGCCTTAGCCTCCAGAGTCACTGGAATTACAGGCATGTGCCACCACATCTGGCTTCCATGTCTACTCTATAAACAAGGAAAAAGTGGCTCAAAAGGCCTGAGATCTTTTCCAGAGTCACCAGGCAGTCAGCGGAAGGGGGCCTGTATAGGTATCAGCAGGTCTGGGCTCCGTCCACAAACTGGCCTATAACAACAAGGCCTGTGGCTAGGTCCGGAGAGTCAATTTTCCACATCTCTGTTCCCATCTGACCCTCCCCCCAACACTGCCCCAGAACTGGCCTCCCAAGGTCAGGTAATCCTGCTCCTTACGTGGCCAAAGGGGTCCAGATGGTTGTTTGTCAACTTCAGCTTCTGGAAAGAGACCAACTGCCGCATCCAGTGGGCCCCAGTGGCTGGAGAATCTGGGTGGACATAAAGCCTTCCTGGCATGGCCGGCTCAGCCTTTCCTGCCACCATCCTGCCAACAGAGCAGACGAGTGGCAGCAGCTGATTACATGGGGTCTAGTGAAGTCCAGATGCCCTGTCCCCTCTCAGAGTAAACCCCCAAAACAGCTACTGCTCCCATCCCAGTGTCAATCAAGTATTTTCAGGTAGGAGCAAGGGCAGGGGAGAGAGTGCTAATGAAGAGGAAGGAAGCACAGTTCTGAATCTCTTTTACTTCACTGCAGTAGAGAGAGAGACGGGGAGGAAATATGAGAATTTAGATGAAGGGTTCAGGCTAATCACAAAGATAACTGTGGGAAAATTTAGGTACTTTTGTGTGCCATATTTATAATTTATATTTGTTTATTTTCCTTTATGCAATGCTAGGGATTGAACCCAGGGCCTTACACATGCTAGGCAAGTGCTTTACCACTGAGCTACATCCACAGCCCTTTTTATAGCTTATTTTATTTATTTATTTTTGGTACCGGGGATTGAACTCAGGGGCACTTGACCACTGAGCCACATCCCCAGCCCTACTTTGTATTTTATTTAGAGACAGGGTGTCACTGAGTTGCTTAGCCCCTCACTTTTGCTAAGGCTGGCTTTGAACTCGCAATCCTCCTGCCTCAACCTCCTGAGCCACTGGGATTATAGGCATGCGCCACCATGCCTGGCTTTTTATATCTTATTTTGAGATAGGGTCTCACTAAGTCGCTGAGGCTCATCTCAAACTTACAATCCTCCTGCCTCATTCAGCCTTCCAAGTCACTGGGATTTTAGGTGCACCACTATGCCCAGCTTATATTTGTAATTTTTAAAAAAATATTTATTTTTTAGTTTAGGTGGACACAGTATCTTTATTTTATTTTTATGTGGTGCTGAAGATCAAACCCAGTGCCTCAAGCATGCTAGGTGAGCACTCTACCACTGAGCCATAACCCCAGACCCTTATATTTATAATTTTTAAATGCTATAAGTTGTACTAGCTAGAGGGAACTTCTCAAAGGGCCTAGACATCTTTTAAATTGCTTGCCCAAAAAATCATGCCAAGAAATTAATTAGCAGCTGGCTCTCAGCCAGAGCCTGCTTTGAATTCTGATCTAGGCCAAAGAGAGAAAAAAGAGAAATGTGGACTTGGCCACCAAATCCTGCCTCCTCAACTCAATCTCTGCCAGGTCTCCTACCCCATCATGGAGCCCAGGCCCCTGGCCAGCATCCCTCTCTTTCAGTGGGCCCTGCTCTGAGCTCCAAAGGCAGAGAGAGTACTAAGTAGTTAGCTCATGAAAAGTAACCAGCACTGACTTACCCATCTGGCCCCAGTGTAGTCTGGCCCCTCAACCTGCCTATCTGCCCAGGCCCTTGCTAAAGGGTCCTACCATCTGACCCCCAGCAACAGTCTCATTCAGTCTGAAGGTGGATACTCCATAGCCAGACAAAGAGGACATGAGTGGACAAACAGGAGAGAGCCACTGCCAGCCAGGTATCAACCCCAACTATTAAACACCCCCAAGAAAAACGGTTCCCATTCTCCTCCTGAGTGAAACACTGACAGAGCTTGAATCTTCCATGTTAGTGTTTCCCATTACCCAAAAGCACAGGCATCAAATCCTGATTTTCTGTGCCCGCCAGGACAGCACGAACCCCAGAAGTCCACAAACACCAAACACTGCAGCTATTTCAGCTTGAGCCCCACCTGGGCAGGGGTGCAAACACCTGAAGCCCTCCCCAGCCTCCGCAGCAGGAAGTAGACTGGAGGCTGTGGTTCTGGGAAGTAACTTAAAGAATAGTTGGGGGATCCCTGGACCAATTTTGTGGGCATAAGTGGGAAGGGCAGTTGAGGGAAGATGGCCTCAGGCCTCTTACCATTTGTTGTCACAGAACTTATAGCGGTGGTCATCTGCAGGGACGATGTCAATCAGCAGGATGTACTTGGTCTTGGGGTTCATGCCTGTGACTTTAACCTTGTAGCTGGGGAACATCCTCCTGGGGGAATCAAGGGGTGAGACAGAGTGTGGACAGAGCACCAGGAGAGATGGAACAGAGTGAGCGAGGGCAGAGAGTGCCCTTTTAGCAAGAGATCGTGGCCCTATGGTAGTTACATGGCACCTCCCTTTGCCCTAGCTGCTCTCTGAACCCCACAGCATTCAGTCTGTGTCCGGGAAAACAGTTTACATGATATCCCAAATTTCCCTCTCCCCCCAGGTCTCCAAAGATTGGGGCCCAGTGTCTGTGAGCCACTGAAGCACAGAAACCCTGGTCAGGATTCTGAGAGAGGATTTTAACACCAACCTGGTATGCTAGTCTGTACATAGCTAAAGTTCTGGGGGCGCCACCACAGACTGCCACAGCACATGACCTGGAAGTCCCTGTCAGTTGCTTCTATGCACAATGAGATGCCTCCTTTGTGTCCCATCCTGTGGAAATCTTGTGAGCTTTTTAACACAACTTGCAGGAAAACAGGAGAGTGCTGCTGAAAACCCTGCTAAGTTTGGATTCCTCCTGTGTATTCAGCAGGGGTATTTCTCACTGTGAATGCCTCACCTGGGCCAGTGCACCTAACTGAAATCAGGAAAACTGGATCCAGGAGCACAGATTCTGAAATCACCATGCCATACTCCACAGCCCGACTCCACCACTGATAAGGTGTTGGGCAACTTGAGTTTCCTGTGCTGTGGTTTCCCTACCTCTAAATTGAGGATAACATCACTAGCTAGATCATAGACTGCCACGTGGATTAAATGAGTCTACTTGTGACTATTATTACTGCCCCCTCTCTGCTTCACCGCATCCCTAAGTCTGTGGTATGACCCATTTTCATGAAAATGGATTCACCAAAAAACAGTTTTCCAGTTCCTACAGCCCATGCTGAGGCTGTCCAGGATCCTGAGGCTCAGAGAACATTCTAGAGAAAGGGTTCCCAGACCCCGGAGCACATACACACATGTCATCAGGGGCACAGCTCCCTCCCCTGGCCACCAGGCCCCTGACACTGAACTTCACCAGAAGAGCAGACGGATCTTCCTCTCACTATCTCCCAGCAGCCCCCTGCCTCGCACAAAAGTACTCTTGCTAGCAGGGAGTGAAGCAGGATCCAAACCTAAGTACTGAAAGACACTAGGGAAATGGGAACCATCCCACCCTGAGCTGTGTCACTGCCCAGCCAGTCCACTCCAAGAAAACCATCAGCAAGTTGTCTGCCTCTCATAACCCAAGAGAGTATGGGTACCTTCACAAAACGCTGCCCTAGACACCTCAAACAGATCAGAGTCCCCATTTTGTTCACAGGGGTACCAGCTTACCTGGGTAGGACAGGGCTTCCAGAAAGAATCAAGCAGGCAGACCCTATAGCAAGCCCCTCCAGGACCCCGAGGCAGAGGAAGGGTTCAATTCCTGCCCTGTCCAGGCCCAGCCTGTGCCTCCTCTCCTGCTGCGAAAGGCCTATGAGCGCCCTGCAGCGGAGAAGAGGGGCTGTGCTGGGCCTGCGCACACAGGCGCATGTGCATGAACACGTGGTGCAAGTGCGCATGTATGCCGTGCCTGGAGGGCGGGGGTAGTTCTAGCTGCTAGTCTAGGGACTTATAAACCGTGTGGAAGAATTTGTCTCAGATGTCAATTGAAAGCATTTTCAAATGTCCACCCCACCCCCGCTATGGGAAGTGAAAAGGCTCAGGAACCCAATCCTGCCCTGTTCACCAGCCCTCTGCCTGGCCTGGGGGCACAGCTGGAGCCTGCACTACCCACTTTCCTGGCTCTGCCTTTTTCGAGGTGGGCCTGAAGCTGAAGGGGGAGGGCAGCAGCTGCCTGGCCTTCCCTTCAGGGAGGAAGGAAGGCCAAGAATCCTGTCCCCTCCAGTCCACCATTTTGTAACTGCTATAGAAACAGCCACAAAATGGGGCAACCCTGGCGGTGCTTCTGCTGGCCTGGCATCTGTGGCCTGCACTTAGACTGTTTCTCCTGTAATCACTCCAGGTGGCAACAGCAGAGGGCAGCCACAGCTTCTTGCCCAGGCCAGTGTCCACACAGGGGGCCAGGCAGGAGGAAATGGCTGACTGCCACTTCACCAGTCTTCATAACCCAGATGGAGAACAGGATGAGGGATCCTTTCCTTCCGCTCCTCCTCCCTAGTACACTTAACCTCAGCAGCTCAAGAGGCCAGGGTTGACTGAGTGCTTATTAGAAGCCCTTTTAGGAGCCTGTACTCTGCCCCACAGGGCTTGGAACTGGATCTTGTGAGCTGGCCCCTCTGGGAAGCTGACCAGAGATCAGACTCCAGACAGATAGTAGTCTCAGGGAGGTGTTAGGGCACTGGTGCAAGAAAGGAGAGTACCTCCTAGCCTCTGCCTCTTCTGCCCACAGATTCCCCTCTTCCTGTGGAAGCAATCTTCAGAATCAGGGAGGGCAGGTATCTGGTCTAGCTGGGGTGTTTGAAAGTCTTTGGCTGCAGGCTGAGGTGGCTGAGGCTCAGGAAGCTCCACTGCCTTCAGAGAAACAGATGGCCAGGTCTCTGGCAGGGTACAGTTTCAGCACAGGGTACAGCTTCTGGGACCATGCAGAACACACTACCGGCCCATATCATTCTCCCACCTAGGTGGCTCCAGGAAGATGAATGGTCCAGCCGGGATGGAGGAAGGGCTGCATGAGAAGGTGAGGCACACCTCCACCTGTGGCATCTATCTGCCCTTGGTTGTTAAGGGAACCCAAAGGCCTGGCTTGAGGGTTTTCATCAGATCAGCATGACTCAGGCAGCAGAGGCCAGGCTAGATTTGGGAGCTGTGACTTCCTCTGAGCTCTACTGGTGAAGTAAAGGTCCTCCCTAATGAAACATACGAAACCACGGAGTAAGATGTAAGTTACTCCTCTGATTTATGACATAAAATGTACCTGAAAACCAACACCTTCTGGGGAAAGGAAACCTCTGTGGGCTTGAGGGGAGGGGGAGGATCAAGAAGAGAGGCACTGACTGCGCCATCTCCATCTCCCTCTCAGGCCCTTGTCACTAGTGCCCGCCAGCTGTTGGCCCCAGGCTGCCTGCGCTGTCCCTGTGCCCGCACGCTCCCAGTTCGCTCCAGGCCTCTTGCCCCGCCCACTTCCCCCGCGACCCGCCTGCAGCCTTCACGCAGGACCCGCGCGCCTTCTCCCCGGGCGCCGCGCGCAGGGTGCTGTCCCAGTTCCCCGCACCCCTCGGACTCAGTACCACTAGACACATGGGCACTCCCCCGGCACAGCACGCGCGGAAATGGCTCCGCCAGGGGAATAAACAAGCTGCCTCCTCGCCGCCCGCGAGGAGATGAAAGCCCTGGTTTCTTCTCTGATCATGAGACGGGCTCTGAAAGGGTGCGGGCCTGGAGCCTTTATCTGCTTCATACTCGGAAATGGTTTTAGAATGAGCTGCTAAGATAAGCGTTCTCCGACGTTTCTGGGTGTCGGAGGCTTGCAGAGCCCGGGCCGGGGCTTGGGGGCATTTTGATTTCGGCAACAAATCTATAAACGCGAACTCACTATAGAGAGAGGGGACGCCCAAGTGATCGCTGTGCCGAGGGAGCCACGCGGTTGTCAAATTCAAGGCGCTGACCTTCCTGCCCACCCCCAACCCCGGAGCGTGGGGCAGACAATAGAGGACCTGGGGTCTCATCCGATTCTCTCTGCCTGGCCTGGCTCCAAACCCACCTCAGCCTGGACTTCCCTGGGACTCCGAGGGCTCCAGAAGCAGCTACCTGCGCCTTTTCTTAAATTCGGCACAAAAATAAATCTAAGGGGTGAGAAGTCTGGAAAGTGGTTTCCAGGGTGGGAGTGGTGGTGACTGGAGGGCGCTCAGGAGGGACTCTGCGTGTTCTCTTCCTTTCTCTAGATTGTAGTTTCAGCTCTGTCCCTTTTGTGAAAAGTTATAGAACTGTACCCTTAAGATTCGTACATTTTTTCTGCAGAAATACTGCAGTAAAATCGACATTAAAATTATATATGCTCACACACACATACACACACACATGCCTTAGAGCCAAAGTCTGGAAAAAGAAGAAAAAAAAAAAAGCTGCAGGGAAAAGACAGGGGTACACTGGAAACTTCAGCGACTTCTACCCCTAATGTCCAGGGGTCCTCAGGAAGAATACTAGGTAGGAATGGGAAGAGGCCAGGGCTCAGACACCAAAGCTGAGGTTAGGGTGGGGTAGGGATGGGTGCTGCTTATACTGAAGCCAAACTTTTTGTAGCCAAAAGATTTCTGAAAGCATGTCCAAGCTACTCAATTGATTCCCACTACACATACACACACACACACACACACACACACACACACAGTTTTCTAATTGGCCCAAAGCATTTTTAAGAAATATTTTCCCTGAGGGGAGGAGCAGGGTGAGGGTGTGTGGAATGGATGCTGTTTGGGAAGGTCAGTTGCTTCTCTTAGATTTTTTTTTTTTTTTTAAAAGGCACTTCCTTTTGATAGACTTTTGCTTTCAGAAAATACTTTAAGAAGAGATCAAAGCACTCTCTCCCCAACCCACTTTCCCAGTGTCTTCAACCCTTACTTCTCTTATCATCCACGCCACTGGGCTCTGACGCTCTGTATACAGAGCGAGGGCAATTGGCTTTGAAGCCCTGGATTAAGCCTGGCCAAATCCTTGCCTCAGAATAACAAACAATACAGGTTCAACAGGAGTTCTCATCGGTAGTTCATTTTTCAAACGCAAATTCACTGTCACTAACACAAGCAACATTGAACTCAACAGGCTATGAAGGCTGATAGTGGAGATTTATCTGGTGGCAAAACATGACCTAGGAGTAGGGCAGTCAGACGGTTAGGGAATTTTCATTTTGGGGAGTTTATATTTAAATTTTTGTGGAGCTCACTTTTATCTGTATTTGGGAGAAAATGCAGTTTCTCACATGTATCAAGCTTGGCAGCAATGTGGAATCTGCTCTCTGCAGTGACCAGCAGGAGCCCTGTGGGTGCAGAGGCCTGTGATGGACAGAAACTGGCTGGGGAGCCATTTGGCCCCCATTTTACACCTGACATCAGGGGTTCCTGAGCATCCAGAAATTAGTATGTTACCTTGTGGTTGGCATTTTATTCACCAAATGAAAATTGACAATTCATTCTCTAATCACTTTCAAGGACTCAGACAGGCTCAGATAGGAGGCTTATGAGCCAAGAACTCAAACTGGCTTGAGAACATTCTGCATCCCCTTTTCCAGGAACTCCTCTCCCCCCACCAGGCAGTGTGTTATCATGTCCCCAACCAGTCATGGTCTCTAGGGCAGAACAGCCCCACATTAAACAGGGCCCTGCAAAAAAATGCAATCAAGGGGATTTCTCAAAGCTAGGGTCTTGTTCTGGGTGGGTGTGGGGTGCATCATCTGTTTGGCTCCTGTAGGCCTATCGATTGCCTAACTTCCCTGCTCTGGGTTTAGTTTGTCTTCCCAGTTCTCTTCCAGTTCTCGCAGTCTAGGAATCTGTGATCCAAGGTTTAGGAGAGAGGTTCAGGCCATCTGCTAAGAAATGAAACTATCCCAGGAAGGGTTCTGGTGGAAACACAGAGTTTAGGGGAACAGGGAGAGGCACAGGAAAGAATGTTGCCTACAAAGCAAGCTGCATCCAGAGCCTGCCCTTGCACAATCATCAGAGTGATAAAAGTGATTTCTGAAGACATTGGGGTGCTGGGAGCTGGGGTGCAGCTCAGTGGTAGAGCAGCATGTGCAAAACCCTAAGTAGGATCCCCAGCATTAAAAAAAAAAGTGGGCAGCCATGCAGGAGGACATGGGGTCTATGAGAATCGTGGGGTGGGGGTAGGGAGGAATGAGGCTAGTGACTTAGTGACTTTCTTAAGAACTAGACCAGATCCAAAGATAACTTTCTGCCACAGAAATTAAAGGCTGTGATGAATCTGTAATCATACCAGCCTTCCCCCGCCCCCTGTACTGAGGATTGAACCCAGGAGTTTCACAGATGCTAGGCAAACACACTACCACTGAGCTACATCCCTAGCCCTGTTCATTTTATTTTCTCAAAGTTGCCCAGGCTCATTTGGAACTTGCGACCTCCTGCCTAAGCCTCTGGAGGAACTGGGATTACAAGGGTGCACCACCACGCCCAATGCATCACCATTATTTTGAAACTATTATCATCATTCCCTGAGGTTCCTCTCTAAGCCATCATGAGGATCAGGCACAAACATCTGCCTAAAGCTGGTCACCTCTGGAATGTGTGTGTGTGTGTGTGTGTGTGTGCACACGTTCGTGCTGCTCTCTCAGAGCAAGGAGGGAAGAGGACCCACACAGGTGCAGGAAACCCTCTGAGGAGAACCACAAATAACTTTTGTTTAAAATGGCAGAGGCCAGACACATCCAGAGAACATGTGGGCCATTTAGTTTGAAGAGACAAGGTTATTTCTGCTGCCTAAAAAAATGGAACTTCTGGATCTTTTTTTTTTTTTCCTTCTCTCTACTTCATCAGCACAAGAAATAAATCCCCCTCTCAACACCTGTAATCCACTTGACAATTTACCCAGCAACATTCACATGATCCCCTGGTTGGAGTCTATCAATAATTTTTTAAAAAGGGGGGGGGGGGGCAGCAGGTACGTCTATAACTACCATTTACCTGACACCACAAAGCTTACAGGAGTGGCCAAGTGCACTCAGGAAAAGGCTGAACTTGCAACAACCAACAACCGGACCTTCTCTCCTCAATGGCTACTCCACACGGCACCCTCTACCAAACTCCCTCATGCATCCTCTTCCTCATCCTCAAATGCAGCAAACTCAGTCCTGAAACCAACCTGCCTCATTCCCTAATAGAGGCCCGTGGTAGTCATGCCACCTCCCTGACTAAGGCACGAGTGTGGCCAAGTGTCCAGACCTCTTCCCTCAACAAAATAAAGCATTGCAAGAGCCTGCCAGCAAACAGAGAAAAGAATGACCACAGCACCCCTACACCACACACAACAAACCAGATGCTTTTTGTTTCTTTTGAATACTTGTTTCTTTTGAATATCGCTGTGCTAGGTACTTTACAAACAATTATAAGGACCTTTTCTTTTAAGGACAGGGGCAGGCAGAGACCCTTAAGTCTCTTATCTGAGGTTGCAGAGAAGGAAATAGCTGAACAGGAGCACTCTCCCATCTCACGATCTAACTCCAGATCCCTGGCTTTTGATGGTTTACCATCAAATTTCTTTAAAATCCCAATTTGGGGCCCACAACCAGGCAAAGGGACACTTTTATACCTAACCTATCCCTGGGGACCAAAATCAAGTGTGTACATGTGGAAAGAGCAAAGGGTGGGGAGAGTGTTCCTGAACCTGAACTTTCCAGTGTCTTCAGCAATCTCCCCTCACCTGTCAACCATTCTCCTGAGTCATTCCTGCCCCACCCCAGACACCCCATCCCAACGAATCTCTGTCATCTGCCATCTGAGTCTTCCTCCTCTCACTCTCTCCTCCCTGTTCTCTCCCACAGACACCAGCGCATTTTAAAGATGTTTCCACTTTATAAATCATCCCTCTCTGGCAGCCACCGAGAGCTGCCCCAAACAGCACATACAGAGCCCAACGGGTGCCTTCCCCTCAGCCCAGGAGCAGCTTGGAAACAGAGGAATGAGAGACTTGTGGGTCATTCTGCTCCTGAAAAGTTACATAAATTGAAAAACAGTCCCATCCTCATCCTCTTCTACCATCTGCCAGGGAGCATCTCCCAATTCAAACAATCAGAGAAACCCTGCTAGTCCCCAGAGAGAGGAGGACAAAGCAACCCTGCAGGAGGGCAAAAGGATTGGGAATAGCCATCCTCGTTTGCATATCATTTGCACAGTATTGCCCCCCTCTCAAACTTTGCAGCAGCACCCTCCAAGGAGTAATTCCCTGAGCCTTGGCTGCAGGTCCCAAGCTGCTGTGGGATGTGACCCTGAGATCCGAGAGTTCGACAGGACTCCCATGGGACCTCAGGCTGGGAACGATTGCTAACTGAACTTGCTGAGATGATTCCCATTGCTCCCGCTTTCCAACCACCCCCCAAGTATATCTCCCGCGGCTGACCTGCCCGCCTTGGTGATGATCATCTCAGTGCCCGCCTCGTGAAACTTCTTCCAGAGCTCCTTCTCATGCAGCCCCACCTTGATGTTCTCGATGGTCTGGGGAGGTGAAGGAAGGGGACTCATGTCTGTTTGTCCCAGGGCTCCAAGAGGAGCCTGTGGAAAGGAGAACGCAGATCCGAGGAAGTGTGCAGAACACACCAGCCCAGAAGCCCACGTCTCAAGACTTCCTTCTACAAAATTATTTTGAGACATTGGTGAATTTAAACAATTTAATTGGTGAATTTAAACAATTTAATTTAAATTGGTGAATTTAAACAATTTAATCAGACCCCTTTAGGGTCCTCAGAGATAGACGATACTCTTCAACCCAATCACTTCAGGTGGCTGGCTGTGGGCAGACACAAGAACACCCAGATAGGCACACACAACTCGGATTCTGTGCATGAGGATTACCCGGTTATCACAGGGAAGCCTCAGCAACGTACACTGGGCCTCGAAGTGGCGAAGCGACTCCAGTGCACAACCATAAGGGGTCGGCTTGTCCCACCCGCTTTCAGGCTTTCACCCCTGCCCTCTCAAGTTTTCGGGACTAAACATTTGGCTGGGCTCTCTCCCCTAGCGCAGGAATCTCCCTCCCCAGCCTGCCCCACAGTAGCCCTGAGGGTTCAAAGTGGATAAGAATCCAAAAAACCAAGAGTATGAGGCTTGCCCAGGGAGAACCAAAAAGCAGACAGTCAGGCAGCCAGGTTGCCCTGAAAGAGTTCTGCCCGCGATCAGACTGAATGACCTGCACAAGCAGACAAACCGACGCCCGAAGTCTACTCGACGGCTGGCGCTGCCCTACCTGCTCTGCAGCGGCAACGTCTGTGCCGGGGCCTGGGGGACTGCCGAGCGCGGCTCCGCTGAGGCTGGGCGCTGCCAGCGCGGGCTCCGGGGCGTTGGCGGTGTTGGCCGAGCTGCCCTCCCCGAGCGCTGGACCCGGGGCCCGGAAGGCCTCCTCGCTCTCGGACAGGCCTTTATCCTGCAGCATCTCCTGCGGGCACAGCACACACCGAGTCACTCGACCAGATCCACAGTGGCCCAGGCCCGCAGCCCTCTCCAGCAGAGCTGGGGTCCTCATGCAGGCGTGGAGGCAGCACTAACGCACGTGGACCCCGCCCCCTTCTGAGCTGGGGGAGGGAGCGTGTGGAGAGGGCAGAACCCTCAACTCCTTGCTCAGGGTTCTGGACCTAGTAGGGTCTGTGTGCAGTTGAGATCTGCCAGTGTGGAGACATGTGATGAGTAGGTCTGGGGTAAGACCCGCCCTCTCCGCATAGTCCTATTTGCAACTCCTGTCCCTCCTTCCTGCTGGGCAACATGGAACCCGAGGCCTGGGTCTTCTAAGTGGAGTACAGGTCCTATTCTTGGTCCAAGGCAACCAGAACACTCCCTGGACTGGCAAGAGAAGACAGCCAGGCCTGAAGGCAGGGACCAAAGCTCCAGCAGCTCCACACCTGCAGAGAACTAGAGCTGGGTGGCCCTTTAGGCCTCTATTCATTCATCTGCCCTCACCCACCCATTCAGATGGAACTCAGGTAGAGACTTCTGAACCAAAGACTTTCACTCTTACACATTCCCACCGGGCACAAGCATCCTCACACAAGGGCACACACAGGACCCTTACACTGCATCCAACTCGCCCAAACATCTACACTTTGTTAGGGTTCCTTTGATTCAGGCCCTGATCTTTTTCAGGACTCTCATTCCCACTGGTGCATTGGTCCAAAGGAGCCAAAGCCTTCCTAGCTAAGGATCCCAGGCCAGTAGGTTAGGTCCAGTTCATAGGCACAGTCCAGTCTTGCCTCAGGGCACAGTGCTATTTCCCTAAGTGCCTGGGCCTATGCACGCTCCTACCCATGTGTCTGCTCCCAGTCTGCAGCTGGTCCTGGACTACCAGAAGGAGCCCCCAGTTTGCAAGGACCAACTAGTCGTGTCCTACATCCCTCAGGAGTGCAATCCTACTCTATCTCTGCTCCACTTCTTACCTCCCGGCTCTGGTTAAGTTCTGGTGGGCTTTCAGTATGTCTGACTGCCTATCTTGTGGCGGGGTGCCTCTTCCTTTTTTCCTCCTATCTTCTTTTTATTTTCTCCTGGATCTCCCTTGGTATCCCCAAGCTCAGATGCCTCGCCCACCCTGTTCAGTAAACTCCCCATCCCGGATTTAAGATTTCAGCTCCCAGGGCCTGGCAAAGTAAACAAGCCAAGTGCAACTGAGGAGATAAAAAGGGGCCAGGGCTGGGAAAAGCCCATAAAGATAAGGCTGACAGCCTAGAGGGTCCTTGGCCACAGCCTGGAACAGGAGTCGCAGGACGTGGCCGGCCCCATCGCGGGCTCTTTGAACCACGTGCGGGTTCTGCTGGGCTGAGCCTTGGAAACCTAGGAGCCCCTAAACAGGGGGACGCTGCACGACGACGAAAGTAGTTGCGCGCTGGAGTCAAGGCACTGTTTCCCACTGTATCTGGGCCCGAGCCAGGATAGGCGCCCGCGAACGGCGGGTCCCAAGCGCCACGGCTTGCGAGACCGGGAGGAGGGGCTGCCTCGGCCCCTAGGTCCTCTGAGGGGCTTCTGTCACCCCTGAGCCCTACAGAAACGCTGTTCGACTGGAGTCCAGCACTCTTAATCCAGCTCCACACAGAGCACGTCCGCTGAGCGTGTCCACTGACGCGGGTCTAGTCGCTTGGATTGGCTATGAATTGCAATGCGTTCTTTCCCTCTGCGGGGTTCGCTTCCTCCTTTTCTCGGTCCCGGAGCCACATCCTCATCTTTAGACAGTTTGCCCTCTCCGAACTCCCGGGCAATTCCCTTTTTTCCCCCAGCCCAGCTGACCCGAAAGGGCAGTCCCCGCTGTACCCCTCGGATTCTGAGCCCCAATGTTCTTGGACGCTAGACCGCCGGCTCTCGCCATCAGCCAGGGTCGGCGGCCAGCGCTCGTCCGCCGCAGCCTCTGAGTGGGTCCTTCACGTCGACCCTCCGCAGGTTCTGCTTCCTCAGCGCTTGGGCTTGTCGCTTTCGGCAGCCTCGTTTTCCGAGGGCAGCATTTTTCTTTTCACTTTTAGATCAGTAAAGATGTTTCTCTTGCACTGAGTAAATTGATATTTTGTACTATTTTTAATATTTTAATTGGGCCCATTATCAGAATAATGCTGTGGTCAGTTTAGTAACATTAAGAATATTTATTCTACTACACGAATTATTCGTACTTTTATCTTTAATACTGTATGGTCAAATCACTGATTTGATTCGTTAATTTATCATTGTTTAATATGTTATTGATTTTCTATCTCGGCTTCAGCATTCCAGAGCCCCTGGCAGATCAGTAACACTGTTGCCAATATCTAGGAAGACTCGATATTCCAAAAGGTCACTAATAATCTATCCTTATTTTATTTTTACTCCATATCCCTCAAATGTTTCCGTTTCTATCTCTCCATTCTGTTTAGATTTTGTCACTCTGTCTCAATAGTAAGTTATCTGCTATAACTTGTAATATTATTGTTCTCGATATTCACATTAATTTTCTATATTTCTTGTTATTTTACCATAATTTGTTTTGTTAGGATTGTTCATAATGCTCCAGGTACTATTCTTCATCACATCGTTACAATATCTTGTTACTTTGTCATTATTTGTAATGTTACAGATCTTAACTCGCTAGTTATTTTTCATCACATCATTACTTCTTGTTACTTTGTCATAATTTGCAATATTGCTGTAGCTCAATACTCTGATTATTTTTCATCACATCTATACAATACTTCTTATTACTCAACCATTATTTATAATGTTGTGATTATTAATGCCTTGGTCATAAATTGTCATATTACTCCAGCAATTCTCATTACTGCATCTTATATTACTATTACCCTTAAGACTTTTGTTAGTATTTAATAAATCAATACCTTATACAATATTATAGTATATGATAGCATCCTATCAGTACTAATAGTATTTCCTTTCATAGTATTTTTCATTGTTCACCTTTTGCCTAGTTTGTTTCCTACAGTTGCCTATAGTTTAGTAATTTGTTATAGCATTACTATTTGTTATGTTTTTGCAATTGATTTTAATAAAGTAGTTCCTACATAGTTCCTGTATTTGGTGTTATTTTGTTTTTAATTCTTTTAATGTTGTGATTACAATTCTTACTTGATTTTGAAAGTGACTTATTTTATTATTGTAAAGTTCAAGTGTTTTATCAGTTATGCTACTTAGCCCTGTTTCTTTGGTTATTGCTTACATCTTGATAATTTTTGATCATCGATTGTTACTTGTATACAGTGTCCCTTGGTTTAATTTTGAAGGGTCTGTTGTATGAAAGACTCTTTAAGTCCAGTATTCTGATCACTTATATTTTTGCAACGATTTTTGCCGCCAGTATCCGGGCTCTCTTCCTTGGCTTTTTTCTCTGCTATAACACCAATTTCAAGGCCACTATTCCTCCTGTCACAGCTTAACATTGTTCCTAGAGTGCTGGCTCTATCATGTCCATACTCTTGGGTCCCTAAACCCATTTAGTACCGTTACTCGGAAAAGAGGGCTTGCGCCCCAACTGCTGGGTATCGGGGCCGAGGCAGCTGCTAGACCTGAAGCGCTATCGTCGCCCTCCTTGTAGCCTTGACCTTCCTTAGGTTCTTATCCTGGTTGTGTTACTTGCCCCAGCTCATCCTCCTCGACCCCGTAGCCAAATTCTGGGCTGTTGGTGTCCTCAGCCCCGCAAGCCCGGCTCACCCCCCATCCCGCTGAAAACGACACTCACCCTAACTGCACTGCCGCATGCGGAGGTGCCTGCTGCCTGAGGTCCACTGCAGGCTTGGGTCTGGGGAACGCAGGACAACCCGGGTTCCGACTCTGGGCGCCGGTTCAGGGTAGCGCTGCCGGTCGCACCCTCGGGGTCGGACACATCCCGGCTGTGGAGCGGGCCCTTGATCTCCGAGGCTGCACTTTGGGGCCTTAGCTCCCTCCTCCCTCCCTCCCTCCGATGCCGCACGCCCCCCCCCTCCGCCCGCGCTGACGTCGTCGCTGTCAATCAGTCGGCACCCGCCGCCCCCCGGGGAGGGGGGCTCTGGGGTCCTCCGGCTCCACCGCCCTCTCGGACCCCAATCCCGGAGCTGGCCTCCAACTCCTCCACCGCGCGGCCTGGTGCCCTCCCCGCGGCCCTCGGCCCCGCCGACCGACCGGGTAGGGGCCGGGAGCCCCGCATGGTTTAGATTAGAGAGGCGGGAAGAGAGGGCGAGCGGCCCTGTTGTGCCGCCCGGCTCCCACCCGAGGATTGTCAACTAGGACCGCTCGCCCGGCGCCGCGGGGCCAGCAGACTGGGATGCTCTACCGCTGGGCCCGGCTCTTGCCGGGGCCCACTTCCAGACAGCCACTTCCACGAACCCCCCACCCTCTCTCCGACCCGCTCCCCGTCATACACGCAGTTTATTTGGCAGCCCATTTCCCAGGGCCGTGGGAGCACACGCGCTCTGTAGCCCCTCGCGCCCTTTATCCATCATGCCCACCCCAATCCTCACACCTGCACTCTCTGGGCACTGGGTCTCTGCTCCCCAAGCCCTGCTCTTCCCAGCCTGGAGGCCGCGAGCACTGGACCTGGTCTGAAGCGCCTTGGAGTCGGCAGCGGAGGTCACCGGTGAGGGCAGGCCTTGCGTTCGGGCAAGGAGGAGGCCTGGTGGTGGCCGGGTCTGGAGCGGCGGCGCAGGAGAGGTGCTGGGCCCGTCTCTGAGATGAAGCTCAGGCCAGGCTTGAGGGTGCCAGGCTTGGCAGAGCCTCTTGGGGAAACTGTCGCCCAGCGCCAGAACTCCGCCAGCAGGTCCCCTAGATGCTGCAAAGTTGAAGATGAAGCCCAGTGACTGCTGCTTCAGTTTAGGAAGAGACACTCTGGTGGGTGTCAGCCCAGTCTCCGTGCCTCAGAAAGTGAGGCCCGCTCAGCCGCCTAGACCTCCCTATCCAGCCTGCCCCCTTCTGGGTCCACTTACCTCTATTCCTCTCTGTACCTTTCCACAGGCCCCTGAGGTTCCACAGGCAGAGAGACCCATGTGGACCTCAGCCCATGCCCCAGCCTCACAGCCTGTCACATGTCCATAATACCTGGGCAAGGACAAACCTGCCCACCCATCCTCAAAGGCCCCAGAATTCTCCACCAATAAGGATTCCTAGATTGGTTCCTCAGTTCTCAGCAAGGGTTGCATCCTCCCCTCCACTGGGGTACCCAGCCTCTTCAATCAACCACTGTTCCTTTCCAGATTCTGACCCCAGAATTAGATGGGAAGGGAACAGCTCAGGAAAATTCCTCTCCTAGATGCATCTGTCCCTTTTCTAATGCCAGGAAATGGAAAGCCAGAATCAATACTTCCTTCACCTCCCTGCACTCAAAGGAGGAAGCAAAACATCAACTCATAAAGCCAGCTGCTGCTGTCAGGAGCCTGTGTCTGCTCAACAATCAGCCCACTGCTCAAGAATCCCTATCAGCCAGGGGTACCAGATTCCTCTACCTCATCTTTCCTCCATAACTCCTCTCTTGAAGTTCCAGACCAGGGAAGGGAAGTAAGATCTAAGAGAGGTGGAGAAGCTTAATCCTTTCCCAATCCTGCCTCCTTCTGGAGTGGAGAAAGGGAAGGCCCTGGTGTTTCGAAGATGCCTAGGGAGTCATGTTTCCTGTGTCAGGGAGAACTGGATGACAAGCCTCAGCTTCTGCTCTCAAGCCCCCTCCCATGCCCTCTTCAACAACTTGTAGGAAAGTTCTTTGCAAATAAATAGTGGCAACCTAACCAGCCAATTACTGTGTGAAATGGTGAACAGGGAGAGCAGTGAATCACCAGGTAACATGGGAAGACTAGAGTTAGGCCGGGCTCTAAAAGAATTTGACAGTCATCGGAGGAAGTTCATAATGAGACCATATAACATAGCTCTTCTAAACAAAAGGAAAAACTAGACTGGAGCTTTCAATGAGTGCAAGTCTTTCTGAAGACTCACAAGACACAGTCTAAATCAACACTGACTGGTTCATGATGACATGGAGAAATGAGATATGAAAGGGACAGGCAAGGTTTTTGCAGTGAAAAGGAAGCAGCAAACCAGCCAGCAAGTGAGTAAGAGAGAAAGTCAGGTGACCTACGTGCATTCCCCATTACAAGAATGGGATAGCTTATTTTGATAGTTCTAAGACATATTTTGACATCTCTGAAATTGGTGTACAACTTATAATCAATAGTGTGTTATAGCACCATAGCAGTGTTTTTTCTCCTTAGTGGTACATAAAGTAATAGAATAGCTTACAAATGACTAATGAAGTGTAGTATTTGCTGATAAATAGCTATATAGGGAAAAAAAAGGGAGAAAACTTCTTTTTTGTCCTACAAAATTGCTTTGAGAAATTCATACCCACACACCACCCCAACTAGCTAAACAAATAACATTATGCTAAGCATTTATCACGCTGATTTAGGTTAGTTTAGGGGAATGTTCTCAGATCTGATGTCAGGCTGACCTTGGTTTTTGTTTTATTTGGGGTTTTGTTGTTGTTGTTGTTGTTGTTGTTGTTGTACTGGGGATTGAATCCAGGTTTGCTTTACCACTGAGCTATATCCCCAGCCCCTTTTACTTTTTATTTTTAGATAGAGTCTTATTAAGTTGCTGAGGCTGGCCTTGAACTTGCCATCCTCCTGCCTCAGCCTCCCATGTTATAATTGTGAGATTATGGGCCTGTGACCTTATGCCCAGCTTGACTTTGGTTTTTGAAACCAGCTTTGAATCCTGCATCGCCAATTAGGAGCTGTGTGACCTTAAGCAAGTCCTTTAATACCCACATCGAATGGGGATAATCACACCAACTTATTAGCTTATTGTGAGGATTGGCTAAATGAATGCATGTAAATGCCCTAACATGTGACAGATGGTTAACAAAGGTATTAAGTGTCCTAAGTATTTTAAAAATTTATTTCTAACCCTCACTAAATAAAAAAGAAAAGAAAGAAAGAGAAAAGAATAGAGAAAAAAAAAACAGAAAAAAAAGGCTCAACATGATTTATAATCAAAATAATCTAGTAAAAATACAAATATACATGTTTGTGGTGATGCTGATATAACAAACCTACTCTGCTGCCAGGTGTATAAAAATATAGTACATAAGATTATGTACAGTATATAAGAGTTGGTAATAAACAACTATATTTATATATATTTACTATACAAAAACCCAAATAGACTGCCAAGTGGAGCATGCCTATAATCCCAGTATCTCAGTAGGCTAAGGCAGGAGAATTGCAAGTTTGAGGTCAGCCTCAGATACTTAGTGAGACCCTGTATCAAATTAAAAAATAACAAATGGCTAGGGATGTGGCTCACTGGTAGAATGCCCTGGGTTCAATCCCCAGTACCATAAAAGAAAACAAACAAATAAACAATTAGGTTCAAAGCAAAGAAGAAAGCCCACATGCTATCACTAAGTGCTGACAATGTTGCTAAAATTGAGAGCAAATCTAGCCTACCAGCATCAGGGCAAAAATGGCATTTCTCCATTTTGGAAATGTGGAAGCAGTAATTCTTTGGTGAAGGGTAGAAGAACAAACTTTCCTGGCCCTAAAATTTGAAAGTAGCTTTCCGTGTAAATTTTAGTTTTTATATCTGTACAGGGTTTTACCATTTACAAAATGGTTTTGCTCATTTGACAATGTATTAACTCCATTTTGTCTCTATTCTATGAATTTATTCATCAAAAAAAATACTTATCAAGTACTTACTATATGCCAGACACATAAATAAGAGGAAAAGCCAATTAACTAATTCTATTAGTTAGCCAACTGATTGGCTAACCAGTGCTGCTTGCAAATTCACTAACAAATGACCTGCAAGCTCATTACTTAATCACCTAAATAATAACTCCTAGAGGGAGCAGAAGCTACAGGATAAGCTAGAGAAGCCCAGTCAGTACAGTAAAGTGGCTGACCAGAACATAAGTCAGATTTGGTTGAAGATGACTGAGCACTAGAGTGAAAAGCAATTTATAATTTAAAAACAAACAAACAAAAAACCCTAAGTCGTTGGTCATGGTGGTATACTTGGTAATCCTACTCACTCAGGAGGCTGAAACAGGAGAATTGTAAGTTGAAGCCAACCTGGACAACTTAAGTGAGACCCTGTATCAAACTAAAAAATAAAAAGGGCTGGGGATGTAGCTTAACAGTAAAGTGTCCCTGAGTTCAATTCCCAGTACCACAAAAAAATAATTAATTAAAAAGAAATTTTAAAACCTAGGTCTTTGGAGCATTTATATAAATACCAATGCCAAGCCCCAACCCAGACCAAATGAGTCAGAATCTCTGAGAGTAGAACCAAGGTTGAGAACCACTGTTCTATGCCAAGCATGGAAATTCTCTTCTCTCTCTTCAGCTAGGGATCATCACATGATCCAGCATTGGCCAATGATACCTAAGCAGAAGATGAGGGGAGGAAGGTTATGGGAAACGTTTGCTTTCTTGATAAAGGGGAAAACAGTCTTCCTTTCTCTCATGAGTAAAATCCTTGGAGTTCTCACTGTCTAGGGACCTTAAGGCAAGAAAGATGAAGAGCAATAAGATATCAGAGCAAAAAGATCAAAGAAGCCTGGATTACTTGTGGCATCACTGAGCAAGTAAGCCAGTTCCAGCTGCTTCTTGTAATGTGACAAAAATAAGCTCTTTTCCTTTATATCACTGTTAGTCTGGATTTCTGTTTCCTACAGCCAAATATATGCCTGAGACATGTACAGGTCCCAGCCAGTGTTCTAGGCCAGTCTCATAAATTTAGCAAGACCCTGTCTCAAAAAATAAAAAGTGGGCTGGGGCTGGGGCTCAGTAGAAGAGCACTTTCCTAGCCCTTGCAAGGCACTGGGTTCGATCCTCAGCACCACATAAAAAAAAAACATCTACTAAG